ATGGTGATTTCATGGACTAATGAGGCTAACAGACCTATTACCAAATATTACCTAGACTACAGAGTGGAAATACAAAGCAGATCATGGTTTGGTTCATTCTGAACCAATACTCAAGTCATGGCCATTTGCAACCTGTGGGACAGTTATGAATGGTTCCAGCCATAATAATGTAACATGTATTATTCTTTATTACCATTAAGGATGGCCCAAAAATTAAGTTGGAAAATGTCTCTCTACACAAGGATGTTCAAGTTATGTGTTGTAATGTAAATATACATGCAAAACTAGATGGACTGGAGAGCATTTAGAAGTACATACTATTCATATATAACCTGGCCATGGAAAGCAACTTTATGACAACGTATAGCTTCGACTGGACCATTAACTAGTCACATGTGTGACAAGTTAATGTTGTACGTTTTAGTCTCCTATGTGCGGGTTATTTATGTACTGTTCCAGTCATGCTAGTGTTTGTACATTAGTGCATGTAATCATGGAATGTGCAAATGGAAGATTTTCTGATCTAATTTATTGCACACATACTTGCATTTGAACAGTTAATATGAACAACCTCGAGAAGAGCATTTTAAACTTTTAATTTTAGAGATAATGAACTGAATGAGAGTAGCATATTAGTCAATGGTGAATCTGTGCAGTATTACAACAAGGTTGCAATAGATAAAACATCTCCCACCAAGGCAGGGTGACCCGAAAAAGAAGAAAACTACTGCATAAAGTTTTTCCTTTTTACATTTAGTAGTAATTTATGCAGAAGGGGTTACTAGCCCCTTGGTCCAGACATGTTAGTCGCATTCAATAAAACATTTATTTATGGTAAAAAAGGTGGATAGAAAAGTGAAGACGGTGATGCCCAGGATTTATTTAGGCGAGAGACGCCTGACGTGTTGTAAAGAAAAGACCTCTACTGTGTATGTGGCAGGCTGTTGTGGCAACTCAAAAGAGGAAAGACAATGTGAAATACATGGAGAAGAGTATATAAACTCTTTCCAACACTTAAAAAAAATAGCAGATTACAGGAATACAGAATTAATACTAGACATGTCTGATCAGCAGGAACAAGGGGCTAATAACCCTTTCTCCTGTATAAAAAAAAAAAAAAACTTGACAAAAGCATTTCTTCTTTTTTGGGTCACCCTACCTCAGTGGGAGACAGCTAATGTTGAAAAAAGAAGTCTGAGCAGTGCAAGTACATTGTAACTACGATTCATAGAGTTTTATAAAAGCATACAGGATTTGCTGCAATTAGAAAATGGTAATCTGTAAAAGTAATGATACTTGTAGATACTCAGACTCTTACTTGTAAAGGTAGTGATACTTGTATACTGTAACAACCAAGAATGAAGCTGACATCATCAATAGTGTCATCTGCTTTAGCTGTATTCTGCATTTATGGTGATATGTTCACTCACTGATGTGTACCACTGCCCAATAAACTTGCCCATCAGGAAAAAATCTAAATCTGGGCCACCATTACATATCTTTTACACAAGATACAAAGATTTTACATAAAAAGTCCTTTTACCCCACACCCAACAAGTATAGGAGTAATATCAACATCACAAACACAGATGAACATATCTCAAGTCATCAATACTCAAGTTTGTCTTTCAATACTAAGCTTGTCTTCCAATACTATCATTCAATACAAAAATTTCTTTCACTTCAGTTGAATTATACACAAGGATACTATTAACATTAAATATTGTTTCCTTAACAACTCTGGAATATTATTGTGCTTTATAACAACTCACTACCAATGATTATTATTGAGCACATTCATCTAAAACTATACAAAATTAATAAGCCTGTGGATAAAATATCAGTAATATGTTGTCATTGGAATATGGATATGACGCACCCTGCCATGAAACTACAGTTCTCATACGTGAGGTTAATTCTAAACTTCAGTTATGAGAAAAATAGTTTCAACTACCAAGGTTGATAACAATAGACAAAAGACACCAAATCCTGTGCAAACACGTTCAAATTAGTAGTCCTGAGTTATCTCAACACAGATTTGCCCAAAGCCTATACAGCATACTCTCAAAGCCTACAATGAAAAATCAAATTAACCAAGGTATGGCAATTCCACTTTTTTTTTTTTTTTTAACACATCAGCCATCTTTCACCAAGGCAGGATGACCCAAAAAAGAAGAAACAAAGTTTTTCTTTTTGCATTTTGTAATTTATACAGAAGGGGTTGTTAGTCCCTTGCTCCCGGCATATTGGTCGCTTCTTACGACACTCATAGCTTACGGAGGAAAGATTCTTCACCTCCACATGGATAAACAATTCTCTTTACAATCATATTTCTACAGTAAGAACTGTCAGTAAACAGGTTGCCATGGAAATTCATAAACCACATTTTAGATAAGTGAAAAAAAAATGGAGCTAGATATAAAAAATCTTAAGTTATCATTTTGTACTAAAGTAATTTACATTTACAACTGCAAGAATTAACTCTCAGAAGCTAACAATTTTCAATCTTACGATATAAAAGGATTAGTTTAGTAGCTTCCATTAACCTCACTGAAAACACACACAATACTATTTCATCCTTAACACAATATATTAATTGAGAGGTACTAACACCTGTGATGTACCTTTAATGAGTTCAGAGTTTTTCTACTCCCAGAGCCCAGCTATAGGCCCATATAACACCTGGGAAATGTGAGGCAATCAGACATAATCTAAAGGTAGAATAGCTCCAATTCCCTAGATCATCAGCCTTTCACTAGCATCAAGGCATACTCTATGAAAAGACATTTTATCCTTAAATTTAAAAAATAAAAGCATTTAAAACTAGATGTCAACTCTTAAATTTTGCACAACATGCATGTATTGACACCTAGAAAATTAGGTGCAAAACACCACTGTATAGTGCACACAAATTAATAAAGGTTCAAATTTAGTGCACTGTAAAGTGATTTACATTGGGCAAACATCTTGGATCTTATGTAACAACACATGTTGTTGTATAAGAGCATTCTAGAGAGCAGTGACGGTTATACCAGTAGTACAGCTACATACTGTACTTGGTGGGTCATTTGAACAGCAATGTGTGCACTAGAGAGACTGCATCATGAGATATGACACCTTTTGGGCAGAGAACATTGGTGTTTTAGTAGAATTATGCTAATCAGCAATGAGACTGATATCAATGGTGATATATACGATGTGTGTTATGGTCTAACGAAACTGTAAAGAAAAAGAGGGGGAAGTAAGAACATGTGACAGGACTTCCAGTGTTGTACTAGCAGGCAAAATAATGTCTATTTGCATGATAAACAATACTCTAACAATCAAACAAATCATTTGAATTAACCAAATTTTTTGAGGAAAGTGTTGCTGATACAGCACCTACAAACATGCTGCAACAGTGATCATTCCACAGCTATGATAGAGAACTCCAGGTGCTACAAGTTCACTGCAAATGAACTATGTTTTTGTGTTACTTTGCTTCAAGGAATACTACACACTGAAACCCACAGAAAATATTAAATGATTTTGTATGGTGCATAATTATTATATTCACTGGGATTATACAGCATCTGGGAACTAAGACAGGGATAAGCAGCTCAAATTCCTTGGAGCAAGAGCCTATGGACTGCATCAAAGCACCTCCTTGAAAGGTGTAAACAGTTCAACGTTTTAGAGTATATTAATAAAGATTTTGGTGGTACGAGATTACATCAACCTGTGAGGGAAAAAAAAAAGTTCGAAATTTTTTTCTTCAAGAAGTCGACCGTCTCCCAGCGAGGCAGAGTGACCCAAAAAGAAAGAAAATCCCCGAAAAGAAAATACTTTCATCATCATTCAACACTTTCACCTCACTTGTACATAGTAACTGTTTCTGCAGAGGCACCCACATACAACAGTTTAGAAGCATATGTAAGGATATACATATGTTCCAAGTGTACACTTATATTTGACCTTGAATAATGCAATAAGCATTGTTGGATGTTTGTCACTCATAATCAAAACTAATAATTAACTTTTAAATTATTTATGTTTATTTTCACTATTAAATTTTTCCTTTTATTAGCATCTCTCTCTCCTTTCCATCACACAGCCCTATTCAAACAGCAAATATACAAATTACAGGAAGGCTCAGTGTGTTCGGAACCTTCTTTTCGGTGTTCTGTATTTTTGTTGGCTGTCAAACGAGTCACTGTCTATTATATTCGGGGCTTTTACCGCTTTTCTGCTGTTTTCGTGCAACAGCTGCATAAGGAAGACTGACGCCACATTTTAAAGTAAGTATTGTATGTACTGTGTATTTATTTCACTCTATCTGTTTTTTAGGCCTGGCTGTATCGAGCACTGAACACAGTACATGTATATGATAGAGTAAACATGTTATCAGGCGTTATATGTAGATGCATTTGATAATGATAAAACTGCTCTTTTCCATGCACTGATGATTTTCCCCTATCACACAAGGTCAGGAACTTAAAAGCAGTACAAATGGGACCCTCCTGTATATTCATTCATTCATATCCGGTGCACACACACAAAAAATATCTGAAACAAGGTCCCTTATACTAATTCTTACACTCTCCTCTATCCCCTGTTTCCTTGTACCACAGAACCATGTGTGCTCTCTGCCAAGCCCTAGGTACTTTCCCTTCTTTCATGTATATACTAAACCATTGCAAATATAAACAATTACAAGAGATTTCTATTTTCTGATTAAATATTAAACTTAAGGAAATTTGTACTGCATATCTTTTGCTTCAATGATTACAGTACACTACCAGTCTTCATAATTTAGCATGCCTTTAGGAAATTAAATTTCAAAGTTAATTTCTGCCTATATCCATTAAGATGTTAGAAAATTTAATTAAAATTCACTTGTTATGAATGGCCCAGTAGTGTACAGTATAGTGAAAAAAAATCATAGAATGGAATAAACAATATTACCCCATCTTTTAAAAAACACAGAAAAAGGACTGAAATTGAGTTTTCATGTGCAATACCTTAGCAGAGGATGAAAGGCCAAATTCATTGTCATTCCACCAGGAGAGGCGGTTTGAAGCACTTCTCTGCCGAGGTGCATTTGTTGAGCCTGGAACCCCATACACAGGATCGGCCTCAGCAAACCAGTCACTCTGTTCGTCATCTGCTTCTCGTCCCTCATCGCAGGTGTATATGCCAGTCTCACTGTCACTACTGCTCTCACTGCTGCTGTGTTCCCTGCAGGTTTAAAACAATGCCCTACATAAAGATGAGAAAAGTTTACACACACTATTTCTTCTTTCAACAAACTGGCTGTATCCCTCTGAGGCAGGGTGGCCCAAAAATAAAAACAAAAGTTCTCTTTTTAAATTTAGTAATTTATAAAGTATAATTACTAGCCCTTTGCTCCTGGCATTTTAGCATTTTAATCGCCTCTTACAATAGATGTGGCTTATGGAAGAAGAATTCTGTTCCACTTCCCCATGGAGATAAGAGGAAATAAACAAGAACAAGAACTAGAAAGAAAATAGAAGAAAACCCAGAGGGGTGTGTATATATATGCCTGTACATGTACGTGTAGTGTGACCTAAGTGTAAGTAGAGGTAGCAAGATGTACCTGAAACCTTGCATGTTTATGAGACAGAAAAACGGACACCAGCAATACTACCATCATGTAAAACAATTACAGGCTTTCATTTTACACTCACTTGGCAGGACGGTAGTACCTCCCTGGGCAGTTGCTGTCTACCAACCTACTACCTTATATATATATATTTTTTTTTCAACAAGTCGGCCGTCTCCCACCGAGGCAGGGTGACCCAAAAAAGAAAGAAAATCCCCAAAAAGAAAATACTTTCATCATCATTCAACACTTTCACCACACTCACACATTATCACTGCTTTTGCAGAGGTGCTCAGAATACAACAGTTCAGACTGATGAAGCCACTGTGTGGCGAAACGTTTCCTGAATAAAGATTCCCATATGCTGCATAAGTGTCTCAATCTTCAACTTGTCGGTTTTCCAAACCATTCATCACACACGTATAAAGATACACAACATATTCCTCCAAACTGCCAATATCCCAAACCCCTCCTTTAAAGTGCAGGCATTGTACTTCCCATTTCCAGGACTCAAGTCCGACTATATGAAAATAACCGGTTTCCCTGAATCCCTTCACTAAATATTACCCTGCTCACACTCCAACAGATCGTCAGGTCCCAAGTATCATTCGCCTCCATTCACTCCTATCTAATACGCTCATGCACGCTTGCTGGAAGTCCAAGCCCCTAGCCCACAAAACCTCCTTTACCCCCTCTTTCCAACCCTTTCGAGGACGACCCCTACCCCTCCTTCCTTCCCCTATAGATTTATATGCTTTCCATGTCATTCTACTTTGATCCATTCTCTCTAAATGACCATACCACCTCAACAACCCCTCTTCTGCCCCCTGACTAATGCTTTTATTAACTCCACACCTTCTCCTAATTTCCACACTCCGAATTTTCTGCATAATATTTACACCACACATTGCCCCTTAGGACAGGACATCTCCACTGCCTCCAACCGTCTCCTCGCTGCTGCATTTACCACCCAAGCTTCACATCCATATAAGAGTGTTGGTACTACTATACTTTCATACATTCCTTCTTTGCCTCCATAGATTAACGTTTTTTGACTCCACATATACCTCAACGCACCACTCACCTTTTTTCCCTCATCAATTCTATGATTAACCTCATCCTTCATAAATCCATCCGCCGACACGTCAACTCCCAAGTATCTGAAAACATTCACTTCTTCCATACTCCTCCTCCCCAATTTGATATCCAATTTTTCTTTATCTAAATCATTTGATACCCTCATCACCTTACTCTTTTCTATGTTCACTTTCAACTTTCTACCTTTACACACATTCTCAAACTCATCCACTAACCTTTGCAATTTTTCTTTAGAATCTCCCATAAGCACAGTATCATCAGCAAAAAGTAACTGTGTCAATTCCCATTTTGAATTTGATTCCCATAATTTAATCCCACCCCCCTCCGAACACCTAGCATTTACTTCTTTTACAACCCCATCTATAAATATATTAAACAACCATGGTGACATTACACATCCCTGTCTAAGACCTACTTTTACCCGGGGAAGTATTCTCCTCTCTTCTACACACCCTAACCTGAGCCTCCCCTATCCTCATAAAAACTCTTTACAGCATTTAGTAACTTACCACCTATTCCATATACTTGCAAAAATCTGCCACATTGCTCCTCTATCCACTCTATCATATGCCTTTTCTAAATCCATAAATGCAATAAAAATTTCCCTACCTTTATCTAAATACTGTTCACATATATGCTTCAATGTAAACACTTGATCTACACATCCCCTACCCACTCTGAAGCCTCCCTGCTCATCCACAATCCTACATTCTGTCTTACCTCTAATTCTTTCAATTATAACCCTACCGTATACTTTTCCTGGTATACTCAGTAAACTTATTCCTCTATAATTTTTACAATCTCTTTTGTCCCCTTTCCCTTTATATAAAGGGACTATACATGCTCTCCACCAATCCCTAGGTACCTTCCCCTCTTTCATACATTTATTAAACAAAAGTACCAACCACTCCAACACTATATCCCCCCTGCTTTTAACATTTCTGTCATGATCCCATCAGTTCCAGCTGCTTTACCCCTTTCATTCTACGTAATGCCTCACGTACCTCCACCACACTTACATTCTGCTCTTCTTCACTCCTAAAAGATGGTATACCTCCCTGGCCAGTGCATGAAATTACCGCCTCCCTTTCTTCCTTAACATTTAAAAGTTCCTCAAAATATTCTCGCCATCTACCTAATACCTCCCTCTCCCCATCTACTAACTCCCCTACTCTGTTTTTAACTGACAAATCCATACTTTCCCTAGGCTTTCTTAACTTGTTTAACTCACTCCAAAATTTTTTCTTATTTTCATTAAAATTTCTTGACAGTGCCTCTCCCACTCTATCATCTGCTCTCCTTTTGCACTCTCTCACCACTCTCTTCACCTTTCTTTTACTCTCCATATACTCATTACGTGCTACATCATACATATACATCTTTCTTTCTTTCAACACACCGGCCGTATCCCACCGAGGCGGGGTGGCCCAAAAGGAAAAACGAAAGTTTCTCCTTTTTACATTTAGTAATATATACAGGAGAAGAGGTTACTAGCCCCTTGCTCCCGGCATTTTAGTTGCCTCTTACAACACGCATGGCTTACGGAGAAAGAATTCTGTCCACTTCCTCACTGAGATAAAGGAATTATTAACTATGAATTAAGATACTAGAAGAAATAGCAGAAAACCCGAGGGGTGTGTATATATGTCTTTTCTTATGTGTAGCTGTGACCTAAATGTACAGTAAGTACAAGCGTACCTGAATCTTCATGATCATGAACGAGAAAAAAGGATACATATACATATACTTGTTAAAAAAAAAAAAAAAAAAAAAAAAAATTTATATATATATATATATATATATATATATATATATATATAATAAATATATATATATATATATATATATATATATATATATTATATATATATATATATATATATATATATATATATATATATATATATATATGACTTGAGTCCTGGAAATGGGAAGTACAATGCCTGCACTTTAAAGGAGGGGTTTGGGATATTGGCAGTTTGGAGGGATATGTTGTGTATCTTTATACGTATATGCTTCTAGACTGTTGTATTCTGAGCACCTCTGCAAAAACAGTGATAATGTGCGAGTGTGGTGAAAGTGTTGAATGATGATGAAAGTATTTTCTTTTTGGGGATTTTCTTTCTTTTTTGGGTCACCCTGCCTCGGTGGGAGACGGCCGACTTGTTAAAAAAAAAAAAAATAATATATATATATATTTTAGAGAAAGAGAAGAAGAGAGAGAGAGAGAGAGAGAGAGAGAAGAGAGAGAGAGAAGAGAAAGAGAGGAGAGAGAGGAAAGAGAGAGAGAGAGAAGAGAGAGAAGAGAGAGAAAGAGAAGAGAGGAAAGAGAGAGAGAAGAAGAGAAAGAGAGAGGAAGAGAGAGAGAGAGAGAGAGAGAGAGAGAGAAGAGAGAGAAGAGAGAGAGAGAGAAAGAGAGAGAAGAGAAGAGGAGGAGAGAAAGAGGGAAGAGAAAGAGAGAGAAGAGAGAGAGAAGAGAGAGAGAGAGGAGAGAAAGAAGAGAGAAGAGAGAGGAGAAAAGAGAGAGAAAGAGAGAGAAGAAGAGAGAGAAAGAGAGAGAAAGAAGAGAAGAAGAGAGAGAAAGGAGAGAAAGAAGAGAGAGAGAGAAAGAGAGAAAGAGAGAGAGAAAGAGAGAGAAGAGAGAAAGAGAGAAGAGGAAGAGGAAAGAAGAGAAAGAGAAAGAGAAAGAGAGAGAAAGAGAGAAAGAGAGAGAAAAGAAAAGAGAGGAAAGAGAGAGAAAGAAGAGAAGAGAAAGAGGAGAAAGAGAAGAGAAAGAGAAGAGAAAGAGAGAGAAGAGAAAGGAGAAGAGAGAGAAGAGAAAAAGAGGGAGAAAGGAGAAGAAAGAGAAGAGAGAGAAAGAGAGGAAAGAGAGAGAAAGAGAAAAGAGAAAGAGAGAGAAAGAGAAGAGAGAGAGAGAAGAGAAAAGAGAGAAGAGAGAGAAGAGAGAGAGAAAGAAGAGAGAGGAAAGAGAGAAGAGAGAGAAGAGAGAAAGAGAGAGAGAGAAGAGAGAAAAGGAGAGAAAGAGAAGAGAGAAGAGAGAGAGAAAGAGAAAGAGAGAGGAAAGAGAAAAGAGAGAGAGGAGAAAAGAGAAAGAGAGAAAGAGAGAGAGAAAGAGAGAGAGAGAAGAGAAGAGAAAGAAGAGAAAGAGAGAGAGAAGAAGGAGAAAGAGAGAGAAAGAGAGAGGAAAGAGAGAGAGAGAGGAAGAGAGAGGAGAGAGAAGAGAGATGAGGAAAAAAGAGAGAGAGAAAGAGAGAGAAGAGGAGAGAAGAGAAGAGAGAGAGAAGAGAGGAAAGAGAAGAAAGAGAGAGAGAAAAGAGAGAAAGAGAGAAAGAGAAAGAGAGAGAGATGAAAGAGAGAAAGAGAGAGAAGAGGAAAAGGGGAAAGAGAGAGAGGAGAAGAGAAGAGAGAGAGAAAGAGAGAGAGAGAGAGAGGAGAGAGAGGAAAGAGAGAGAGAGAGAGAAAGAGAGAAGAGAGAGAAAGAGAGAGAGAGAAGAAAGAGTAGGAGAAAGGAGAAAGAGAGAGAAAAGAAAAGAGAAAGAGAGAAGAGAGAAAGAAGAGAGAAAGAGAGGAGAAAGAGGAGAGAAAGAAGGGAGAGAAAGAGAGAGGAAAGAGAGAGAGAAAGAGAGAGAGGGAGAGAGGAGGAGAAGAGAGGAGGTAGAGAAAGAGAGAGAAAGAGAGAGAAGAGAGAAAGAGAGAGAGAGGAGAGAGAGAGAGATAGAGAGAGAAAGAGAGAGAGGAGAGAGAGAGAGAGAGAGAGAGAGAGAGAGAGAGAGAGAGTGTCAGAGTCAATTTGTTAAGTGAATGCATACTCCCCAGTTTCCAATCCCAACAGCATTCTAATGATTTTGAAGTTTTACAACTTACATATTGGCCTCATCGGAATATTCAAACTCCATGCTGTCCTCAGTGCTTGCTTGGGAGGCTCGATGGTGGACGCGCAGATTATGAAAATGACTAGACGATGACCCATGACGTTTGCTGTGTGATGCATGTTGTCCACCGCACCATTCCACACTTCTCTCTCTACCTCGCTTGCGTTTTCCAGCAGATATCGCCATATATCTATTACCACAAAATTAAAACATAAATACAGAAGTGCAACACTTGCAGAAATTATTAATAGAAAGATATGGATGGATATATTGCATACATTTCAAAGAAACTCTTAATGTTTGTTCATGAAAGATTAACATGGAAATTGCCGAACATACGAGATAATAGGAAACTTTCATTGTGGATGAAAGACTTTGAAGGGAAAATATAAGTAGTGATTGAAGTTAAAATACCCTTATGGGGTAATATCAGCAGCAGAGTGCCACAAGGATATATGTACTTGCCCTGATGATATTCTAATTCATATAATGACTTGTCAAAATGAATAAAATATAGAACTACAGTATGTTTGTGGATAATGCAAAAGCCCTAAGCAAAGTACAGTAATAAAAGCGACTAATGAGTAGGGAAATATTATACAGCTGTTCACACACAGTGATGTATATACTATACTTAAACAAAACGTGTAGATAAAACAAAATACGCAACTAAAAAGATGTGTCACAAAATGGCCGAACCAAAAATAAGAACAAGAAAAAAATTTAAAAACAATAAAAATATCCCGGGTGACTGAAGTGTGGAATAAAAAAAATATGGTAATCACATAAAAGATCATAAAGATTCAAGAGAAGAGGGCCATCACCAGGCAGAACAAGAGGCCACAAACGTAAATAGCGAAAAAAGTGGTGCCCAAAGCATACACGAAACATTTTCTTCATAAACAGTGGTAGAATATTGAAATGCAATCCAAGAACACATGGGAGCTACAACCACCCGAAAATTTAAAAATGTATACAAAATAACACTGAAGACGGGACACCACGTGCAAAAATGCTACTATAACTAAAGAAAAGCAATAACAGAGTGGTAATTAATCCCACAGACGAAATAATGGAAAAAAGAACGATGCCTCCTCTTATGCAGGCTGATGGTGCCTAAATAATTTCCATAAAAGATGGAGCTTAATAATAAAATACAGTACACTGGAAAAAATCTGTCCATGCACAGTTAAGAAGTTCCTCACCGGTACTCAACATCAGGTGATGGTCTTAAAGATTTCTTTTTGCGACTGTTGGAAGCCCCCGATAAAATGGCCGAGGCAATGGCAGTGGGTTTAGCCATAGGCAGGCCAGATGACATAACAGCTGAGGCTTGTGTTGTGGAGGTGGAAGGTGCATCAGGATCTAAGGCTAACCTCTTGCATTTCCTTTTCCTACATAAAAAAGGGTTGACACTGAAAGCCATTAGTGTACTTCTGGTTATTTTAATGATAAGATGTAATTGTACATTATAAAAAGTGTAATGAAAACAAAAGTCAAAAACAAAATGCTATAAAAAAATTGTGGCACACAAGTAGCTTTAAATTTTAAAACTCATATGAACTAACTAAAGTACTATATACTATTACTAACATTAATCCCCTATTACAACTTGTGTCAATTATCCCACCTTAGGCACAAAAGTTTACCATAGTAAATAATATACAACTCAATACTGTGCAGAGATAACAAAAAATTACTGTACTGTAATTTCTAATTTAATTTTTAAGTGCCAGTTTTAGTACGGTACACACAATATTGTAAGGTAATTGGCATATGTATACGTACATATATGTGAATGTATGTGAGTAAGAGTGTGAATGTGTGTGTGTGTGTACTCACCTAATTGTACTGACCTAATTGGTGTGTGTGTGTGTGTGTGTGTGTGTGTACACATACACACACACACATATATACATGTATTTATATTTTAACACAATGGCTGTCTCCTACCAAGTCAAGGTGACCCAAAAAAGAAACTTTCACCACCATTCACACTATCATTGTCCTGCCAGAGGCAACATTTCCAACATGTAACATACAATAATATTATAAGAAGCAAAGAACGTTAAGGAAAAACAGGGTTACATTCCATACACCTCAAAATATGCCCCTCCCCCCAAAGTATAAATTGACTACAGTATAATATAACTCTCAATTCCCAAATAGAAGTGTGGGGAGAGATATACACAAACAACCTGCACACAGGAGAGACCAAAGCTTATGATGACATTTCAGTCCGCCTTGGACCGAAACGTCGTTATAAGCTTTTCCCTCTCCTATGTGCAAGCTATTTGTGTACTGTTCCAGTCACAGTATTGTGTGATTTTGTTCTTAGTGGGGAGAAGGTTGATGTGTCCTATTGAGTTGAGATGGATGGCTAAGATTCTTGTACAAGTTCTTGTTTTTTCTCATCATTTCTAATTTTACAATTGGACGATCCATTTACACGTAACTCTCAGGCACCTTCCATCACACTCGCACCATGGCTATGTATATCTAACACTTATATCTTCTTCAACAAAGCAACCTGTATTCCTCCTGCCATGGTTAATATCCAGAAAACAGAAATAGTGATAAAAATATTTAAAATAGCTTGATAAACAGAGTATGCCACAAGATGCTTCCAAAATACAACTGTAGGTGGCTGTTGCTGTTAGTGAAAGGGAAGGAATTATATACTATGGCATGTTGTACCCAAATTTTTCACTAATGTAATGTTATAGCATGCAGTACCAGCATTTGGCACTTAAGCAAGTTCTTTAATGCATTACAATAATAGGTCATTATCCAGGATTCTGCATATGTACTATCAAATTTCTTAGTTTCTGTTCTTATTGTTTTTTTTCTGGTCACTGACAGCATGTGCCATATCAAGCCCTGCATTCCAGTATCCGGAGAAGAAACCAAAGTGGAAACTGACTAGTGGGGGTACGTGTTATATGTCCCTGATGCTCCCAAAGGTCAGTGGGAAGGCGCAAGTATAGGCCTGAATCTCCCGATGGTTTGGAGGACTGAACGCCTCCCCATTGAGTAGGAGTGGTAGGGTCAAGAGCTGCACCCCAAATGGGCATAAAGCCGCACAGAGAAGTCTCTGCAGAGTGGTAACAGGGGCATCACAGCAGGAAGTGCCCCACTGTCTCTGGCTGAGAGGGACACCACAGGCAGGATGCGGAATCAGTCATAAGGCGGTGGTGCAGATGAGCTACCAGCCGTTGTGATTTTTGAATAGCAATTCAAGGCAATCATGCAACAAAGTTGTTTTGTATAAGTGTTTACTGTGTATACTGTACATTTTTATTTTTTAGTATCTGTCTTGCACAAAACTGCCATATACACAAAGGAATCATTAATGTCACTGACCTATCAACTGGAATTACTAATTATTTATTGACTCTGCGTACATACTGACTTATGTGAAAAAATCCCATTATCCATTTTTTCTCCATACAAAACATTACCCTGCACACATCTTACATACAATGTACACCTATCAAAATACTTTCTAGTTATTATGCAAAAATTCTTTTGCTCCAACACTGGCCAATACACTTCAAGCAAATTAAATATATTTCAATTTACAGAAAACTAATATCCCCTGTAAAATGCCACAAATCTTTCAGTTCTGACAAAATTCAATACCTACCTGCGATTATGAGGCCGAGCAGGTGAAAAATTCTCGTTGACCGAATCAGATTCGGCAAGGTTTGAAGGCGCTCTGTGATGTGTCAGAAGTTGAGTGCGGTGGCGGGGCTCAGGAGGAGGGCTCATGTCATCTGAATCTGTCAGAGGTATTGAGGATTTGTTGTCTTGGGAGAGTAGAACCTCACCCACACTGCTTGATGAATCTTCACTGAGTGCACGACTGCTTGATAAACCTGAATTATAAACATTTTACTGTAGATACAGTTGCTGAAATTATCAGTAGCATTAACCAGTTTCTAAAACAACAGTAATACAGGTCCATATCCCTTTATCTGAAATTCTGAAATTCGAAAAGTTCTGAAAACTTAAGTTTTTTCGTGGAGTGTGGAGAGTCAGTCATCTCCGTGCTACGTCACACCGCCACATGGCGTGACCCAGCATGGAGATGAAATTCAAGAATTTCATTCTGAAATTCAAGAAAGTCTGAAATTTGAAACAATACAGGCCCCAAAGGTTTTGGATAAAGGGATGTGCACCTGTAATAATAAAAATAAATTTGATAATACAGGTACAACACTAAAGAACAAAAAGACAATACCATGACTGGAACAATGCGCAACTTGGACCATTAACTACTTAATTGTCAAAGTTAGACCGAAACATCATAAGTTTCTTTATCCTACGTGCAGATTTCCTGCATAATGTACAACATTGATTTTTGTGCATCGGTGGGTTCAGCGCCTCTTTTAGCCTGGATAAAATTATGAGGATGGCCATAGATTGCACTGTGTAGGGTGCACTCACCTATATTATTTACATTGCAACTGTTGGTAGTAATCCCTTGATTCTATGCAATTCTCAACCTATTTTGCTGACACTGAACCTTAACCATAGCTAGGGTTAATAACTATATTAACTTGTCAATAGCTATGGCTATTGTCAGGTGAATTAATCAAAGAACTAGAACAATGTTCCTTCGTGATGGAAGAAGAGCTGACAAATTTTTATTTGATGCATTAAAAATTACACAGGAAAAGATCAGAGCATATGAAATAGCTTTGCTTGGATGGAATGTTTAAACAATGGCTAAGAACAATATACTATATCACCAGCAAAGAGCACACATGCATGTATTTTGTATACACACATGCGTGTGTATACAAAATACAGTGTAGCTATATATATATGTCATACTGTGATATCACAATATGCAAAACCACCACTGTGAAAAAATAGTGAAATTCCAAGTGCTTTCATGATTTCTCATATTATCAAGGACCTTGATAATGTGAGAAATCACCAAAGTACTTGGAATTTCACTATTTTTTCACATTGGTTGTGTTGCAAGTATTACTCTACATAACATAACAGTCCAAATGTTTGCCCTTTCTTAAAAAACATACCCAGCCAGTATGGGGAATAATTTTCAGATAATAATACAAGCATGTAGTCCATTTTATATTAAAACAACTATGCCCAATACGTGGTTATGCGACAAATGCTGAACTTACTCAGGTTATTGACTAACTTGACCCGGCGTTTGAAGCCTCGTCTCTTGCGGTGGTACTGAGGGAGCTGAGACTCATCTAAGGCATGTGAGAGGTCAGATACTAGAGCGTCCATCTTGTGCCGCAGGGTCACCGCCGTCACCACTCTCAGCCTGTCCCCACCGCCACTCGCCATACCACTGTCCACAGAAATTGAACTGTCACACAGCTGAGTTACTTAGCACTTTTAGATTTTAAAGTTATAATCATGACTGATTTCTTCTGTAACTTACTGCTAGGTTTTAAATAATAAGATATTACAAGGACCACAATGGAAACAAGTCACTGACTTTTTTGGGGGGTTATCTTGGGTAATTTATACATACATTATGTTACTATGTACGATAACTGTACTTTGTGTATCTGAACCTAAATAATCTTATTTAAATATTCACTGTTTACCCTTTCCCCAGGACAGAAAGCTCCGAATCTTTTACATTATAAATATTTTCCACGTTATCCATTCCATGGATAAAATATTTATTGTGGAAATTATTTAGCGACAATAGACAAAACTAAGAATATCATTAATTTTATTATGTAAATTATTGACTATTAAATAGGTTTTGCAATGGAAACAGTTATATTTTGGATAAGTAGAAAGGTAGTTTTATTTCAATGAATAATGTAACCCTACTGAGACTAGCCATATCACTGTTGGTTAGGTTAGGTTGGGTTACATTACATTACATTATATAATTATATAAGCAAAAAACTAAAAGTGTCTTTTCTTACAGGCACTAAATATATGCATCTTCATTACACAATGACTTAATACTGGAGAATATGTATGTAATAATAATAATAATTAATAATAAATAATAAATTAATAATAATTAATAAATAATTAATAATAATAATAATAGTAATTCACATTAAGTGCTAAACCCACATGGGTCATTCAGCTTAAGATGTGGCATAGGCTTGATCCGCCGTCTGCTGAACGCAAGAGAGATGCGCTTCCTATTTGTACCTCTACCACTTAATACCAGATAATTTACACAATAAAAATACATCTGGACGTAAAGTCAACAATGACCACTGAATATCGAGTTAACACTACTTTCGTCTACTCCCACTCAAACCCAGCTATACTCAGAGACAATGTAAACAACTAGCTGCTCAAAATAGTATATACCTGGATGATGACCAACAAACTCAACTCTCAACATAGACAAAACATACTTCATGCTGTTTGGAAACAGAGCCTTAAATATCCAATATATCGATAAATGAAGATTGAGACACTTATGCAGTTTATGGGAATCTTTATTCAGGAAACGTTTCGCCACACAGTGGCTTCATCAGTCCAATACAAAGAGGAAGGCGTAAGGAGAGGAGGAGTATGAGGTAATCAGTCCCTCAGCCTGGAGTCGATGTGTTCAGTCCATCAATCTTGTAGAATGTACAGCATAGGGCCGTAGACGTGGCTTATATACTGTAGTGAGGTGAGGTGAAGCAGGCGGAGGCGAGGTCATAGTGGTACCATCCACTAGTCGAAGTAGGTCCTCGTCCAAAGGTTGAACAAGTGTTGAAGAATTCTTTGTAACAAGATCCCATGATGCTGCAGTGTCTGACAGTTGTGATGAATGGTTTGAAAAACCGACAAGTTGAAGAATGAGACACTTATGCAGTTTATGGGAATCTTTATTCAGGAAATGTTTCGCCACACAGTGGCTTCATCAGTCCAATACAAAGAGGAAGGCGCAAGGAGAGGAGGAGTATGTGGTAATCAGCCCCTCAGCCTTGGTGGGATGCGGCCGATGTGTTAATAAAAAAAAATAATAAAATAAAGATTTATTAAAAAGTGAAGTACTGTTATCTTGTCTAGACTTAAGTAGGTATTATGTACTAGGATAAGTCTGCCTGAAATGCCTCGGCACGACAGCGACTTTCTTTGTACTTAACAAATCAAAACTGTAATTATATATTGTACTGTTTACTAAGAAATATAATGTTTATCCTTTATTCTTTTAGGTGATACAAAACAAGACTTCAGAAAACAATAAAAATATCTTTCGTTAAACCTTGTACGCAATTTTAAAGTTATTATAATGAGTTTTATATAGTAAATTACACAGAAACTGAAGCAAGTCCCTGAGGGACTGACCACCTCAATACTACGTCTTCAAGGCTGATGGACTGATTACGTCGTCTTTACGTCTCTACCGCTTCTGCTGTCTCCACAGTACTCGACTGAAGAAGCCTACCATGTAGGTAAAACGTTTCGCCATAGATACATAACTGCTACACATGGGACACAAGGGCTTGATGGCTAGTGCACTGTTCACACACCAAGGTCCGGAGTTCGAATCTCCGGTACGGCTGGAAAACGTTAGGACGCATTTCCATAAGACACCTGCTGTCCATGTTCACCCATCAGTAAAAAATAGGTACCTGGGTGTTAGTGGACTGGTGTGGGTTGCATCCTGGGTGTTAGTGGACTGGTGTGGGTCACATCCTGGGTGTTAGTGGACTGGTGTGGGTCGCATCCTGGGTGTTAGTGGACTGGTGTGGGTCGCATCCTGGGTGTTTAGTGGACTGGTGTGGGTCGCATCCTGGGTGTTAGTGGACTGGTGTGGGTCACATCCTGGGTGTTAGTGGACTGGTGTGGGTCGCATCCTGGGTGTTAGTGGACTGGTGTGGGTCACATCCTGGGTGTTAGTGGACTGGTGTGGGTCACATCCTGGGTGTTAGTGGACTGGTGTGGGTCACATCCTGGGTGTTTAGTGGACTGGTGTGGGTCGCATCCTGGGTGTTAGTGGACTGGTGTGGGTCACATCCTGGGTGTTAGTGGACTGGTGTGGGTCGCATCCTGGGTGTTAGTGGACTGGTGTGGGTCACATCCTGGGTGTTAGTGGACTGGTGTGGGTCGCATCCTGGGTGTTAGTGGACTGGTGTGGGTCACATCCTGGGTGTTAGTGGACTGGTTGGTCGCATCCTGGGTGTTAGTGGACTGGTGTGGGTCACATCCTGGGTGTTAGTGGACTGGTGTGGGTCGCATCCTGGGTGTTAGTGGACTGGTGTGGGTCGCATCCTGGGACAAAACTGACCTAATTTACGGGAAATGTTCAACATAACAAGCAACTTTCTATACAGTAGTATATCAATAATGTCAGCTATGGTGTGTATACCTTGTACATGTACTGGTAGTAAATAAAGATATTATTATTATTGAAGAGTCAGTCTACTAGCTGAACAAAATGGAAGTGTGTGTAGTTGTGTGAGTTATGGCGCTACATACACCTCCTCCATCACTTTATCATTACCTCCATGCACTGTGAGTCTCTATTCCAGCATGTAACACCTGCCACCGTGAAATAGCGGCTTTATTAACACTGGAATAAGAGGTCGCTGGTTGGTCTCCTCATTGATCCTTCTCTCTCCTCAAGTTCCAATATTTTGTTCTCCTGCCTTAAGTAAAACATCACTTTTCAATATTTTCCTTGTTTTTCTCTCAACTTTCTTATGTAGTAAAATAATTTATTGATTTGCTAGCTGGGAGTAATTTTTAAATGAGACTTTCAAGCGAAATTGATAAGATTTCTTAGATATTGTAATTTTAAAAGTATATTCCACGTACTTTAAGAATCTCAAAATCAGCTGATTAATTATTTTTTGTTTTAAATAATATATAATATCATATTATTCCTTCAAGGAGACTCTTTTATGCTGGTGAAAGGCTTTTGATCCATGGAAGTGAAGTTACCCTCTCCTTCCTTGGATCAAAAATGATTACATCCCGTTCCCCAGTACCTGTATGACCTTTATGGGTTTAGCGCTTCATGAATATTATAATGTGCCAACTTATTTGAGATGCCAGACTCGTCCATTATTACCATAAAATTATTGTTCATTGTCTTCCTGCAATTATTACTACTTACTATTATATTCAGGGAAAGTGCTCAACCTGTAGGGGTCATACATTATTATTATTATAATCAAAAAGAAGCGCTAAGCCACAAGGGCTATACAGCGCTGTAGGGGTCATACAGCACTTTAGGAATGGGAGGTAGTCGAGTTTGATCCAAGGATGGGGAGGACAGGTCTAATTCAAAAGGGTATCAGGCCAAATTAAACTCTTTGAATTTAAAGTGGCACACACTACCAGAATTTGAAGGGAAGTGTTGATGAGTGTCAACACACCAACCTGCCTTACATTACCATTTTATTCTGGCAGCAACACTGATCTGCTGACCTTGTCTGCCCTCTCCTACCATCCCATTTTCCTGTAGAGTCTTTGCTGTCTTATCTGAAGCCATACACAAATAACCCACACATACACAAATAACCCACACATACACAAATAACCCACACATACACAAATAACCCACACATACACAAATAACCCACACATACACAAATAACCCACACATACACAAATAACCCACACATACACAAATAACCCACACATACAAGAGAGAAGCTTATGATGTTTCACTCCAACTTGGACCAGTTGCATTATTATTATAATCAAAACTAAGTGCTAAACCCACCAGGGTCATGCAGCTCTGGGGATCATTTACATCTGTTAGTGTAACTTGTAAACGGACCATTTACATCTTTGTTAGTGTGATTTGTAAATGGTCCAAGTCAGACCAAAATGTCGCCGTAAGCTCTCTCTCCTGTGTGCGGGTTATTTGTGTATTGTTCCAGTCATGATATTGTGCCTTTTTGTTATTTATCTGAAGCCACTTTGTTTTATCAACAACAATCGTAACTCTGGTGATCTTATGTTTCCCCTGCCTCTTCATACACAAGCATCTAAATGTTTTTTTCAACACATCAGCTGCCATCTCCCACCGAGGTACGGTGATCCACAAAAGAAGAAATACTTCCACTATCACTCACTCCATCAGTCTTGCCAGAGATGGTGGGAGGTCTCGGTCAGGTGACCAAAAGCTCCAGTGGTGGGTCATCAGGTGACTAAGACCCATGTCAGGAAACAATTGTCCTGTTTCCTGATGAATCTTGTCTAACCTAACCTAACCTAGCAGTCCCCTCCATCTCTTCCTCTTTGTTGCTCACTGTTGCATGACCTTGTGTTTACTGCTTTCCAAATGTAATAATAATCCGCCCTGCATGAAAAAAAAAAAAAAAAAAAAAAAAAAAAAAAAAAAAGAGCCCACAGAAAAAAATAAAAAGTACAAGATGTAAATGGGAAACAGGAAGCTAGGCATAAAAAACATTTAAGATAAAAAACAACTCATTACAAAAATTATTAAAACAGCAACTGCATTAAAATCAGTGTTGCATTAGCCATACAGGTTTAGAGTTTGCTTTTTCTTAATGATGCTGGTGTGTTTTCAGAGAAGGACATTATTATTATAATCAAGGGGGAAGCGCTAAACCCAGAGGATTATACAGCGCCTGGGGGGGGATGTGGAAGGCATTCAGGCTTAATTCGGGGAACTGGAGCACAAATCCAATTCCCTAAATCAAGAGCCCCTCACCAACATCAAGGAACCTTCCTTGAGGGGCAGAGAAGGACAAATAATACAAAGGGCATATGGATTAAAAGAACCTGTTTCTTTTATGCTCCACTAAAGATGAATCTTCATGTCACAACACTTCAAGCTTCAGTTTAACAAACTTTGGAAATCCAGGGCAAAATTTGCTGGGTCAGCTGACTGAGGAACAATGGACAATGGCTGCTGGTTACAGGGTTGTCCATTGTTATAATGACAGGAAAACAACATTGTCTCTGCCACAATAACCATTGCTAATCACTCTCCCATATTTAGTTTATAGTGATTGTGATATGCAGCCCAGTAGTTATGCTTAAATTACAATTACCATAAATGAACAAATGTTTAATCAATATCACCTTACCCCTAAACGATCCAAATGTATATATACGTTTTTTCAACATTTGAATGTAAAAAAAGTAGATCTTCTTTTTGTTTTTTTACATTTGAAAATGTGTAAAAAAAAACGTACATCTGCTTTTGAAGCACTACACATGTGAGCGTAGATTTGCTTGGACCGTTTATGGGTTAATTGTTTAAACAATTTTGTCGTGTTATATACTCATTCCAAAAGGTTTAATAAAAATACTACAATTGTTTGAAACTTACTTTTATTATCACATTTAGAGTACGAGACAGATCTTGGTAAAAAAGAGAAAAGGCATGCATTTAAATTAAAAATATAATTAAAATAGATAATATCTACAATTAAATTTATTAATACCCCTTCCATAATATGGTCACTTATTCCTTTTTGGACTTTTTTTCCCAATACTGTCTTTGCAATCCAAGGATATCCAACTGTTTTTTATGATACTCCTCCAAGTATGCCAGTTGCATCTCCACTAAACGCATCTGTTGCTCATGTAGGGCTTGGTCCATCTCCATTCGCTTCTTGTTACGCTCATCTGCCGACCTTAATGCTGTGTCATAGGCATCTTCTTTGGATCTTGATGAGGACCATGATTTTCTTTTCCTGGTGGACCTCACCCTCTGCACAGGAACAACTTGTGCTGGACTATCATCAGTTACAGTTGCAAAACTTTCATGCGGCCCCTCAGGTTCACTAGATGGAGGTGCAGGAGGCTTGGGTTCTGTTGAGGAACCCACAAGGCACTCAGGTTCTGAGGATGGTACATCAAGTGATTCAGGTACAGCTAATGTATCCATCAGATGCTCTCGTTCTGCAGTCGGACCTGAATGGCACTGGGGTTCCCCTGATGAGCCAGCAATAGACTCTGGTTCTACTGACGGATCCGCAAGACAAAGGAGAGGCTCTGGTGTAGTAATAGCATAGGAAACTGGGCCATCACTAGCATCTGCACAAGGAAAGTTGACAGATTAATAAAATAGCGCTGTTTTAATTGCACAAACTGAAGGGTTAAAGCAAATATACAGTTAAAAAGAAGGAAAACGCTATGCCAGATTATCATTTATTCTTCAATTAAAATATATTTTAGCCATATTTTGCAGGAACTATATATCTTTATCAAGCTTTATGCATATTCTGAACTCTGAAACACAGAAAACAACAGATTTTCTATGAAAATAAATATAACTTAGGGGAAGTGGAAAAGAATCCTTCCTCCATAAGCCACGTGTGTTGTAAGAGGCAGTTAAAATACTGGGAGGAAGGGGCTAGTAACCGCTTCTGTATAAATTACTGAATGTAAAAAGAAAAATAACTTTTGTTCTTAATTTTCAGGTCACCCTGCCTCAGTGGGAGATGGCCGGTGTGTTCAAAGAAAAATAAGAAAAATTTACAAAAATTTAGTGCATATTTCCAGTTTTGCTCAAAATAAATTTTAAAAAATTATAAAAAGAACAAGAAAAAATGTAACAGCCAGAATGTCAATGAATACTGGAGATAAAAAGAGAGAATCAGTTACCAATGCAGGTTCTGGGAAGAAAGGATAATTAGAACATTAGCAAGAAATGATGGTGTATGAACACATGCAATGGATGAAAATATAATACAGTATACATATACACACAAGATAAAGTAATAAAAACAGAGAAAGACTGAAACTAGTGAGGAGAGCGAAGTAGTCGGCAAGATCATTATTTGGAATGCATAAAAATAAATTACTTACCAGACTCTTCAAGAATGCTTTGATTATGCACATCAGAATCACAATCCCATGGATTCTCTAGAGGCTCCAGTTCTCTCTCTATTAAAGGAAGCACTTGACAACTCAGGGCATCTACTGGAATGGGTGGGGGTCCCCCAGTTTTATTCTGTTCTTGCATGACTCGTATATATTCTTTCTTGGCTCTGTATGAAATAAGACAGGTAGGTAGTCTTGAGATTTGAAGAGTATTTTGACCTAAGTGATCATTCAGTACTCTTGGCAATTTAAAAATATAAATACAACATACATAAGAACATCCAAGGTATTAGTATACAAAAGCAACTAGCATGATTAAAATACACCACATAAATAAATACTTTCACACCAAGTTAAAATAGACAGCATCAATTAAAAAGTCCCATTAAATGCTTAGTATCAAAAGACTTTCTAAAAGTTTCAGATTCTGGAAGGTATACTAGTAATTATGGACACCACATTGAAAGTGAAAAGGCTTAAGTTGTGGGCAAACAGTTAAAAAGTGTTCCACAGTCAGTTGAATGTCACAAGCTACATGAATAGGAGAAGCACCTGCAAACACATGGCTATGAGTAAGATGTGTATGCCTGATCCTCAGTCGACAAAGATTCATCTCTAATGACGATTCCTGTCAAAGGAAGAAGTCCAAGTATTCACGTCCTGCCAAACCCTGTATAACTTTCTTCTGGTCTGTATGGTCCACTGGTCCTGCCACTTTCCAAGACATTATATATGTATGTGGCCCATAAAGGCCACATACATATATAATGTTCCATAGCAGACATCTGCTATGGAACAAGCTGCTTACAGCAGTCTTCACCTCATTCTCTGTCTGTTTATTTTCCATGATGCCATCATGGCCTGGGTATCAACAGAACTCCATATCCTGGTGCCACACATGGAGACAGGCTAACCACTCCTGGATCTTTTGGACCACGGGATGGACAGAAGAATACTGAGCCAGAGCAAACAGAGCACACTGGGAATCTGAGTAGATAGTCAATTGAGATCCAACTAAGCTATCAGGACGAGAGCAGTGAGGATGCATGGAGCTCCGCAGTGAACACAGAGGATTTGTTTGCTAACTGTGCACTATAATCCTCACTGGCAATCACTACAAAGGCAATACCACCCTTGCTCTTTAACCCATTAGTAAAGACCTTTATCCTTGAAGAATGAACAAAGTCACACTCCAAGAAATTAGCTAAGATCATCACTGGGGCTCGGCACTTAGGGGTCCCCATCCACTGCCTACAAAGACGTACCTCAGGCACTGTCCAAGGATGGCATGGAGAGAAGCCAACCTCTCTGACTGCAAACACACTGAGGCCACAATCCAGGAGAGCAGCCCACATCCAGACACCACACAGGACAAAGCCTTGCACGAGGAGCAAAGGACTTCCCAGTTTCTCCTCCATGAAGACTGCAGCATAAGGTGTGTTGTCAAGTGTATGCCATGCAAAGCAAACAAAAAACAGGTTAATAACACCAAAGAACAGCTACGTGTTATGAAGAGAAGCAAACTGATCATGACACTAAAACTACTATTAACCAAGACTTTGGTCCAGTATAATTACACTATATCACATAACCTCTTTAACTAGAAGAGGCTCTGTTATTATGCATATGCTACTGTCCCTTAAGTTGAGGGATCTCATGGAGATTTTACTAAAGTCTTACTCACTGCTCTCCTCTCCAATTATGTACACTGTACCTGATCTTTCTCATTATTCTTATTTCTCCTTATATAGAATCTCCAGTCATGTTTCATCTCCTCTGAATGTCGTCTTGTGTTGACCATCCAAAATACCCTGACCTCAGTCATAGCCTTACTATTGTTTTCTTAAACATTATTCAGTACATTAAATTACATTACACCATTGAGACTTCCTCATCTTTCGTAACCAATAATTTTAACTACATGTAATATACACCACAAATACAAAAGGACTATTATATATGAATTTACCAAAATTCATACACAGTACTGTAGTGCTGGAAATATGTTAGAATAAAAGTAGGCCTTAGACAAGGATGTGTGATGTCACCGTGGTTGTTTAATATATTTTAAGATGGGTTGTAAGAGAAGTAAAATGCGAGGTTTGGCAAGAGGGGTGGAGTTAAAAGATAAAGTACACACAAAGTGGGAGTTGTCACAGCTGCTCTTTGCTGATGACACTGTGCTCTTGGGAGATTCTGAAGAGAAGTTGCAGAGATTGGTGGATGAATTTGGTAGGGTTGCAAAGAAAAAATTAAAGGTGAATACAGGAAAGAGTAAGGTTATGAGGATAACAAAAAGATTAGGTGATGAAAGATTGAATATCAGATTTGGGAGAGAATGGAGGAGGTGAACGATTCAGATATTTGGGCAGTAGTGTAAGCGGATGGGTCTATGAAAATGAGTGATCATAGAATTGATGAGGAAAAAGAGTGAGTGGTGCACTTAGAGTCTTGGAGACAAAGAACTTTTGTCCTTGGAGGCAAAGAGGGGAATGTATGAGAGTATAGTTTTACCAACGCTCTTATATGGTGGTGAAGCGTGGGTGAATGAATGTTGCAGCGAGGAGAAGGCTGGACAGGCAGTGAGATGTCATGTCTGAGGGCAATGTGTGGTGTGAATATAATGCAGAAATTCGTAGTTTGGAAGTTAGGAGGAGGTGCGGGATTACCAAAACTGTTGTCCAGAGGCTGAGGAAGGTTGTTGAGGTGGTTCGAACATGTAGAGAGAATGGAGCGAAACAGAATGACTTCAAGATGTATCAGTCTGTATGGAAGGAAGGCGTGTAGGTCGGCCTAGGAAAGGTTGAGGGAGGGTAAAGGGTTTTGTGTGCGAGGGACTTGGACTTCCAGCAGGCATGCGTGAGCGTGTTTGATAGGATGAATGGAGACAAATGGTTTTTAATACTTGACGTGCTGTTGGAGTGTAGCAAAGTAACATTTACACTCTGAAGGAGGGGTGTTAATGTTGCAGTTTAAAAACTGTAGTGTAAGCACCCTTCTCTGGCAAGACAGTGATGGAGTGAATGATGGTGAAAGTTTTTCTTTTTCGGGCCACCCTGCCTTGGTGGGAATCGGCCGGTGTGATAATAAAAAAAAAATAAAAATTAATCACAAAATTCTTATAAGCAAATGAATTCTGACCACTGCAAAAGGTATTTCAGCCATTACCATGCATTAAATAGTAGAACAGTCATTACTGTAAAAAAATGTAAAATATGGAGAGCAGTAACAGGCTCAATATAAGTAAGGTGACAGCTTGTTTAATTTACACTCTTTAAAGTGAGTGAAGTTTAAAGCAGATTTTCTTACCCCTTAATACTAAGTAACAAGCTTTCAAGATCTACCATTTAGCTATCACATTCCATCACCACTTACCATAAGAATAAAGCATGTGATCTCTCTTGTAGTTGTACCTATTTAAAATTAAAACTGCAAGACACACACACCTATTGCGCATATTTTCCCAGATCTTCCGAACTTGTTGGGACGATTTGCTATATCCAGTGGCAGCATTGAAGCGTGCTGCAACATCCTGCCACACTGTCGCCTTTCTGGATGTAGCAACAAAACTAGTAGACTTGTCAGCTATTATATCCATGAAGTCCTTAACAATTCCCAACAAGCATTCCTTTTCAAATTGGCTAACAGGAGATGATCTTGACAGACACTTAGGAGGCGCTGGCATTTCTAAGGCGAAGGCTGCAATATGAAGGATAATATTTTGAAGAAGTCTGTACATTCTCCTTCCAATCACTGTAATATATCCATATTAATTTAGTGCTTTTTATCATGCTTAACACATAGCCGGATTCCTGCTAAGCTGTCCAACTGAGAGAATTATTTAATGAGGTTTGATCCATTTCAGTGATGCAAGCTGCAAAGATAATTGCTTTATGCCCATTCTGGTACGAACTGTACCACCCTGTTTCTGTATGACTCATCCAGATTTAGTATATATTTTGATTAATGTATATTATTATTACACCCTACCCTCACACAGACTGCTATAACCCACTGTCACTCAGCCTCATACACCTACACAGCCTAATGAAATCCTCATCTACAGCAACTACATACCTTATGGGCACTCATTCTACACAAACTAAATTAATCTACCACCATTAAGCACATTTTTACCAAACCTACAGTATCTATATAATCCCACAATTGCCAAGCCCAAAGCAACCCAGCTACACCTGGCAGACCACAAGGCAGCTTGATCTCTTGCCTAAACACCATTCTAAATTTTATTTACCAAAACAGAAAGTGTTTGGGTGATCACAGTCATTACTTTTCCTTGGATAGAAGGATTCAGTTCAGTCTCATAACTCCAGCTTTGCTTTTTGTTTTCTTTTTTCCCCCCATCAGAAAGTATGAGTAACCCTGGTTCAGAACCACTGTTTTAGAGGTTGACCTCAAAGTAACTCCTTCAGATTTTCAAAAGCCATCAAGACTTGCTCAAATACTTCTGAAGGAGTTCTTATACTGAAACAGTAGATGACGAATTCCACATGCTGATTTGGTAGTTATTATTTGTTGTGGTGAAAAAGTGGTGTAAAAAGACTGAAAACACCCTCAGTAAGAATAAAAGAATAAAGATTTTATTTCTTTGTAAAGGTTATAATACGTAATTACAATTTTGGTTTGCTAAGTACAAAGAAAGCCACTATCATGCCGAGGCATTTTCGGGCAGACTAATCCTAGTATACCTAATAACTACTTAAATCTAGACAAGATAAGAGTGGTTAACTTGCATTAAAATCTTTATTTAATCTTGATACTGATGCAAAGTAGTCAAGGTGGAGATTTCTAAGAATAATTATCTTGAAGTTGAACATAATAAAAACAATAATACAATTAATGGTTCAAGCAGTAATATTTCATGCTCTGGCAGAAGTTTAATAGACTAGAGGTCATATAATAAAAAACTAATTACAAGTTGTTTTGTTTGGTTTGGTTAGTACTGAGAGATGAGATGATTTTTAAGCAAAGTCCTAAATTTATAAATACAGTGGTCCCTCGTTTTTCGTAATTAATCCGTTCCTGGAGGAGCTACTATAAACGAAATTTACGATTTGCGAATCAATTTTCCCCATAAGAAATAATGTAAATACAATAATCCGTTCCTGACACCCAGAAGTATTAAAACAAAAAATTTTTTTACATGAAATATACATGTAGTACATAAACACTATAATGGGAAATGATGAATGAAACATTAACAGCATAACACTTACCTTTATTGGAGATTCTTCTTAGTGTATGGGAGACTGGAGGAGGAGAGAGATTGGATTGTTTACAGTTTGGAAGGGGAATCCCCTTCCAGCAACACCTCAGGTACCAATTGCTTCTCTGGGGTTGCTTCTCTTCTCTGTTTCTTAATGCCACTAGGACCACCTTGAGAGTCACTCTAGTCCTGTCTCGCAAAGTAACTGTGGAGAGAGCTCTGTTTCTGGCGTCTCTTTAACACTTCCCTAAAATGGCCCAAGACTTTGTCACTGTACATATTTCTCACCTTCTTTACTACAGGCTTGGCACTAGGAGCTTTCTTTGGAGCCATGGTAGCTTATTTAGTAATTGCAAGCACTAAAATGAGTGGAATATTAGTAAATATTTCGTAGGAGCACTTGAGGGGACCTTCACTCACTGGTAAACAATGCCAGACTGGCTGGGTAGGGAGGCCGCCTTGGCTCACACCGTGCGTACGCGTCCCGGACGAACTACTATTCGCGAGTCAACCTATGAAAAGCGAGTCCATGTTTATACGAAAATACCCCTATGATTGGCGAAATTTACGATTGCCGAGAACTACGAAAAGCGAGGGACCACTGTATGGAATACCAAAGTTAAAAAAGTAGAAAAGAAGAATTAAAAAAAGAGTAAAGGTCCATCTAAGAAAGGGAACAAACAGCTTCTATTGACAAAGTGATAACACTGAAGAAATGCAGCAGGCAACAATATGTACAATAATTTAATTTGCAGCTAGCCAAAATCAAAGGATAAAAACATTAATGAAAGGGAAAGAAAAAAAAACCTTACTTCCCACACAACTGTGTTTGCATAGGAAAATTATCCCAACCTCTGTTCCCTACATTTTTTAATATTATAATATTATGACTAATATTATAATATTTTGATTAAAAAACATTTCTTTATCTTCACTACATATTACAAAATAACTAGGAAATCCCTTGTAGAATAAAGCTTTTCTGTCTTGTTCAATGACCTCTCATGACAGATGACCATCACCAACAAACAGGGTATATATACATGCTGCTGGTTCAATGGAACATGTCTCTGAGAATAAGTATATTAACACTAAAAACCTATAGAAAAAATATGAAAAATTTTCGGAAATGTAATTTTAAAAAAACTCCTTCATGAACAAATTGTACCAAACAATGCCAAAACAGCAACACCAAATGACTATACCAAAGGTAAATGCATTTGATAAAAGTAACAACTTGTAAAAAGATAAGTTAGAGGCAGTGTGTGTGATGGAGTGTACACTGCTCACTTCATCAAGGGCTGCTGTATGTCTAACACAGTTTTCCCTGCGCTTAACACATCATAAAAGTTTCACAGACAATTCGTATGTGAAATCTGCCAGGTCTTTCATTGCTGCTGGGACAGAAGGCAAAGGGAGCAACAGTTTGTCCACAAAGACCCACAATTTCAAAATGAGAAAAAACAGGGGCATTAAAAACATATCAGCATCTTTTTCCTTCAGAAAAGGGAGACGTGATGGAATGGATTAAAAAATGTGCTAGCAAGTACATATTATAACCAAAATTTTTACTTGCCAAACAACTTTTTAGGTTCCTATCCTGCTCAGTAAGAAGAGATAGATAAAGGTGTCCCATAGATCGATTGCTAGTGCACTCAGCTCACACACTGAGGTCTGGAGGATGATCCCCAGTACCGCTGGAAACATTAAGACGTGTTTCCACGAGACGTCTTCTGTCCATGTTCAGCCATCAGTACAATGGGTACCTGGGTGTCAGTCGACTGGTGTGGGTAACATCCTGGGAGAAAATTGACCTAATTTGCCCAAAATTTTCTGCATAAGTGGCTTTCTGTACAGTAGTATGTCATTGATGTTACGTAGGCCTGCATACCTCGTACAGGTTGGTCATCGCTAATCTGGCATCATTGGGACCCGTAGTGTGCCGGATTACAGAGTGGTTAGGTTAGAATACGCTTAATTAACCTGTCAATAGAGACTCTTTCTGCTACATCTTCCACATTTTCATCACTGCTTTCTCTTCCACTGGCTTGCTGCTGTGGATTTACAACCATTTGCACAATTTCTGAGTCAGTATAGTAATGAAATTTGAAATTATGCTAGCCGAAATTAGTGCCGGATTACTGATGGAACCGGATAACTGATTGCCGGATTAGTGATGGTCAACCTGTACATGTACTTGTAGAAATGAAGATTTTTTTTTTTTTCAACAAGTTGGCCGTCTCCCACCAAGGCAGGGTGACCCAAAAAAGAATGAAAATCCCCAAAAAGAAAATGCTTTCATCATCATTCAACACTTTCACCTCACTCACAGATAATCACTGTTTTTGCAGAGGTGCTCAGAATACAACAGTTTAGAAGCATATACATATGTATAAAGATACACAACATACCAAACCAACCATACCCCCGGCCGGGATTGAACCCGCGGTCATAGTCTCAAAACTCCAGCCCGTCGCGCTAGCCACTAGACCAGCTAGCCACAATAAGATTCATCCAACTAGGTATATTTCTACACCATAGGAAAGTTAGCACAGGCACCTCTATGACCGCGGGTTCAATCCCGGCTGGGGGTATGGTTTATTTGCAATCGTGTCATTACGATTTCTTAAGTCATACACAACATATCCGTCCAAACTGCCAATATCCCAAACCCCTCCTTTAAAGTGCAGGCATTGTACTTCCCATTTCCAGGACTCAAGTCCGACTATATGAAAATAACCGGTTTCCCTGAATCCCTTCACTAAATATTACCCTGCTCACACTCCAACAGATCGTCAGGTCCCAAATACCATTCGTCTCCATTCACTCCTATCTAACACGTTCACGCACGCTTGCTGGAAGTCCAAGCCCCTTGCCCTCAAAACCTCCTTTACCCCCTCTCTCCAACCTTTTCGAGGACGACCCCTACCTCGCCTTCCTTCCCCAATAGATTTATATGCTTTCCATGTCATTCTACTTTGATCCATTCTCTCTAAATGACCAAACCACCTCAACAACCCCTCTTCTGCCCTCTGACTAATGCTTTTATTAACTCCACACCTTTTCCTAATTTCCACACTCCGAATTTTCTGCATAATATTTACACCACACATTGCCCTTAGACAGGACATCTCCACTGCCTCCAACCGTCTCCTTGCTGCTGCATTTACCACCCAAGCTTCACACCCATATAAGAGTGTTGGTACTACTATACTTTCATACATTCCCTTCTTTGCCTCCATAGATAACGTTTTTTGACTCCATATATACCTCAATGCACCACTCACCTTTTTTCCCTCATCAATTCTACGATTAACCTCATCCTTCATAAATCCATCCGCCGACACGTCAACTCCCAAGTATCTGAAAACATTTACTTCTTCCATACTCCTCCTCCCCAATTTGATATCCAATTTTTCTTTATCTAAATCATTTGATACCCTCATCACTTTACTCTTTTCTATGTTCACTTTCAACTTTCTACCTTTACACACATTCCCAAATTCATCCACTAACCTTTGCAATTTTTCTTTAGAATCTCCCATAAGCACAGTATCATCAGCAAAAAGTAACTGTGTTAATTCCCATTTTGAATTTGATTCCCCATAATTTAATCCCACCCCTCTCCCGAACACCCTAGCATTTACTTCTTTTACAACCCCATCTATAAATACAGTGGACCCCCGGTTAACGATATTTTTTCACTCCAGAAGTATGTTCAGGTGCCAGTACTGACCGAATTTGTTCCCATAAGAAATATTGTGAAGTAGATTAGTCCATTTCAGACCCCCAAACATACACGTACAAACGCACTTACTTAAATACACTTACATAATTGGTCGCATTCGGAGGTAATCGTTATGCGGGGGTCCACTGTATATTAAACAACCATGGTGACGTTACACATCCCTGTCTAAGACCTACTTTTACAATAACTTTTATAATAACAATAAAATAATAATAATAATATATAATAATAAAAATAAAAATAAATAATAAAAATAATAACAATAAAATGAAACCTTTTTTCATATTAAGAATGCTTGCTGAATTTAGTCTTCAATGTTATATGTCATATTCCTAGAGATTATTAAAGCACATATACAGTGGACCCCCGACATTCGATGGCATCGACATTCAATAAATCCGACATTCGATGCATTTTAACGCAAATATTTCGCCTCAACATTCGATGGAAAACCTGACATTCGATACGATTCGTACAAGACGTGTCCACGTGTGGCCTGAACTGCACCGTGTGTGCCCGTGTTAAGAAGCCAGCCAGTGTGCGCGCATCTAAGGATACATTCGATACATTCCATATTATCCATATTATCACTGTTTTTGGTGCTTGTTTCTGCAAAATAAGTAACCATGGGCCCCAAGAAAGCTTCTAGTGCCAACCCTTCAAGAAAAAAGGTGCTAATGACTATTGAAATGAAGAAAGAGATAATTGCAAAGTACGAAAGTGGAGTGCATGTGTCGGAGTGCATGATGATTTGGTAAAGAAATTGCCTGCAACTAGTGGTGATGTGAGTGAATTTAAGGCCAGCAAAGGTTGGTTTGAAAGATTTAAGAATCGTAGTGGCATACACAGTGTGGTAAGGCATGGTGAGGCTCCCAGTTCAAGTCCTAATGGAAGGGAATTCCCCTTCTAAACACTAACACCATCCACACTCTCCCCTCCTCCCATCCCATCAATCATCGCCAGATCTTTATTAAAGGTAAGTGTCAATTATTCTATTGTTATTATTCTATTGTTATTGTAATTATTCTATTGCATTAAACTTAATATTTCATGGGGTAAATTTTTTTTTTCATACTTTTGCGTGTCTTGCATGGATTAATTTGATTTCCATTATTTCTTATGGGGAAAATTAATTCGACTTTCGATATTTTCGACATTCAATAGCTCTCAGGAACAGATTAGTATCGAATGTCGAGGGTCCACTGTATCTTCAGTCCTAAATGTACCATACATGAAAATCTGAAAGCAAACTTTAAAAATAATGTTCAGCAGTGATACTGCAATCAGTGATGGTGCACCTCCATTAAGAATGCAACAGAATTTTCTACAAAATTTTAAGCATCATAACATACATTTCGGGATACAATTTACCGTATATGTACCTGAAATTAATTTTTATTAATTATAATCAGTGTGCACTTTATTCTAATTAAAAAAGACAAAGACTATTTGACTGGCAGCCAGATGCCCAAACTTAAATGACATTTAACCACATTGCCAGACGTATCGTATTCATTCATTTCCAGTTTGCTCGTTTGCTGTTCAAGGAAAGTTTTTATTAATTCGTGTAATCTAACTTAGCTCAATTATAAACTGATGTTTATCTCCTTGTGTTGTAAATACTCTGTAACAAACTGCTGATTATCTCACTGCTTGCCAAAGTCACTTCCATTAAAAACATTCAAAGAGAATTTCGGAAACTGCAACAATGGCAACTAACCACACAAAAATCAACATCAAACTAAATACCGTATACATAATTTCAACAGTTACCTGATCTAACATTAGCTGATGATCTGGATCCTAGTTTAAACTTTCTTCTCAGTTCTTGTGCCCTGTAGCAGGTCTTGTCAAGCGCACTGTGTGAGAACGTTCTCCTCCTCCTCCTTGAATTAGTGCGCGACGTGACGGATAAACCTTTCACCAGTATTCTTCTTTTAAGAGGTCCACTTTCTTGATTTGTTATTCTTTTATACTGTTCACTCTGTTCTCTCACAATAGCCTCATAAATTTTTATTTTCTCATCTGCATCTACTTCCGTTAAATCTACTTCTTGTTTAATATCTATAATCATATCCTCTGCAAGAACACCATTTTCCACCTCTGAGTTCCCAGTCTCTTCCTTAATACAATTTTCACCATTTGGCAGAAAAGCGTCACCGTGTGATGCATTTCCAGGAACAGCTGCGCTAACTGAACCACTGAACAATGAATTCGCCATAACTGTGTTTATATGGCATCCAGGCTTTCTTATTTATCTGTTCAGGTAAACATCGGGGAATTGACGAACACTTCACCATAGCCGACCGCGCACGTTCACCTCTTATTTGCCAAAATCTGAAAATGTAATTAAAATTAGACAACTCTTAACTACATTGTCAATTTTTATTAATAATACTGTATACAATACTGCCATGTTCATGAACATCATACATGTGATATCAGAATGTCATTCTGATTGTTATAGTTCAAACACATGACAATAATTAGGAAGCAGTAAACCCGCTGGGGCCTCACAGCAATCTGGTTTGATCCACAGAAGGGGAGGAAAGTTCCAATTCCCTACAGTTTCAATAACCTTGATCTAATATATTAATTTTTATTGTTAACATTAATAATGATAAATAATAAAGTGATATATACATACAGAAAATAAACGGCTACGTAAGTGTTAATGGATATTCTAGTCACGTAATTTTACAAGTAAAATGATATAGAGTAATCAAATTTCCATGTTAATAATTACAACTGATGCGATAAATCAAAAGCGCTAAACCCGCAGGAGTCATAATAACTCTAAAGTTCTGTAATGAACATAAATAACCCGATTATTATCATATATTCTTATACTTTAGGCATCTAAAACCACAAGCAAGTCTTCCACTGTCTCCAGTATTACTCTCTGTTGGTTTAATAATGCGGCCGGTGGGCGAAACATCGCCACAGTCAAGACCCACAAGTGTAGCACAAACGTCTCGCTCATCCCTGAAGGTCACCGAGGTGGCAGTACATCACATTAAGATACAACACACACACACTGACCTCCATTACTGCATCATTACCTACCTTGTTGTTGGGGTTGTAAAGGGCCACTGTATGTGTGTGTGTGTGTGTGTGTGTGTGTGAGAGAGAGAGAGACTCAGCAATCAACATTTGCACCAATAACTCACTACAGTTGTGACCGGGTGTGGAAGTGTGAATTGCTCATTACTCTAAAATTTGTTCATGATTGCAGCCATGTATAAACGTAAGTAACCATTCTTACAGTATTCATTACCTTTGTAACTTGTGAGTTCATTACCTTTGTAACTTGTGAGTTCATTACCTTGTACCTAGTTCAGCCATCAAAACTTTGGAGCCCGGTCCCTGGACCCATTGTGTACCTCTGTAATCTGTAAATACCTTTGTAACTTGTAATGATTGTGACTAGACCTACCTGGAGTTCATTACCTTTGTAAATTGTGAGTTCATTACCTTTGTAAATTGTGAGTTCATTGCCTCTGTAGCTTGCTCAGCTATCAAAACTTTGAGGCCCAGTCCCTGGACCCATTATGTACCTCTGTAATCTTTTGACTACCGCCCACAGGATGGGTATGGGGTGCATAATAAACATATTAAACTAACTAACACTGATACCTTACTGCTCCTCCAGCCCTGCTACCCGATAACCAAGCAAGCAAGATAAGATAAGATTTCGTTCGGATTTTTAACCCCGGAGGGTTAGCCACCCAGGATAACCCAAGAAAGTCAGTGCGTCATCGAGGACTGTCTAACTTATTTCCATTGGGGTCCTTAATCTTGTCCCCCAGGATGCCACCCACACCAGTCGACTAACACCCAGGTACCTATTTGATGCTAGGTGAACAGGACAACAGGTAAGTAAGTAAGTAAGTAAGTTTATTCAGGTATACACAAATACAGTTACATAGAATTATCATACATAGCAGCATATGTGTAGAGAACCTAGGATAATCCAAAAAAGTCAGACAGAGTGACTTATTTCCATTGGGGTCCTTATATTTCCATTGGGGTGTAAGGAAACGTGTCGAAATGTTTCCACCCGCCGGGAATCGAACCCGGGCCCTCCGTGTGTGAAGCGAGAGCTTTAGCCACCGGGCCACCGGGCCACCTGCCAGGCCTGCAAGTAGGCAAGTAAGCAAGTAGGCAAGGAAGTAAGCAAGCAAGTAGGCAAGTAAGCAAGTAAGCAAGGAAGTAAGTAAGCAAATAGGCAAGAAAGTAAGCAAGCAAGTAGGCAAGTAAGCAAGTAGGCAAGGAAGTAAGCAAGCAAGTAGGCAAGTAAGCAAGTAGGCAAGGAAGTAAGTAAGCAAGTAGGCAAGAAAGTAAGCAAGCAAGTAGGCAAGTAAGCAAGTAGGCAAGGAAGTAAGCAAGCAAGTAGGCAAGTAAGCAAGTAGGCAAGGAAGTAAGCAAGCAAGTAGGCAAGTAAGCAAGTAGGCAAGGAAGTAAGTAAGCAAGTAGGCAAGAAAGTAAGCAAGCAAGTAGGCAAGTAAGCAAGTAGGCAAGGAAGTAAGCAAGCAAGTAGGCAAGTAAGCAAGTAGGCAAGGAAGTAAGCAAGCAAGTAGGCAAGTAAGCAAGTAGGCAAGGAAGTAAGTAAGCAAGTAGGCAAGAAAGTAAGCAAGCAAGTAGGCAAGTAAGCAAGTAGGCAAGGAAGTAAGCAAGCAAGTAGGCAAGGAAGTAAGCAAGCAAGTAGGCAAGTAAGCAAGTAGGCAAGGAAGTAAGCAAGTAGGCAAGAAAGTAAGCAAGCAAGTAGGCAAGTAAGCAAGTAGGCAAGGAAGTAAGCAAGCAAGTAGGCAAGTAAGCAAGTAGGCAAGGAAGTAAGCAGCAAGTAGGCAAGTAAGCAAGTAGGCAAGGAAGTAAGTAAGCAAGTAGGCAAGAAAGTAAGCAAGCAAGTAGGCAAGTAAGCAAGTAGGCAAGGAAGTAAGCAAGCAAGTAGACAAGTAAGCAAGTAGGCAAGGAAGTAAGCAAGCAAGTAGGCAAGTAAGCAAGTAGGCAAGGAAGTAAGTAAGCAAGTAGGCAAGAAAGTAAGCAAGCAAGTAGGCAAGCAAGCAAGTAGGCAAGTAAGCAAGTTAGTTTTATTTAGGTAATTACCCAAATTTAGGTGAATACAATTATCATACATTGTAACACGTGCAAGTGATTTACCTAAGATAACCCAAAAAGGTCAGACGAAGTGACTTATTGTCACTGGAGAAGAAATATTGCCACTGGAGAAGAAATATTGCCAATAGGGAAGAGATATTTCCAGTGGGGAAGAGATGTTTCCAGTGGGGAAGAGATATTTCCAGTGGGGAAGAGATGTTTCCAGTGGGGAAGAGATATTTCCAGTGGGGAAGAGATGTTTCCAGTGGGGAAGAGATATTTCCAGTGGGGAGAAGAGATATTTCCAGTAGGGAAAAGATATTTCCAGTGGGAAGAGATGTTTCCAGTGGGAAGATATTTCCAGAGGAAGAATGTTTCCAGTGGGGAAGAGATATTTCCAGTGGGGAGAAGAGATATTTCCAGTAGGGAAAAGATATTTCCAGTGGGGAAGAGATGTTTCCAGTGGGGAAGAGATGTTTCCAGTGGGAAAGAGATATTTCCAGTGGGGAAGAGATGTTTCCAGTGGGGAAGATTATTTCTCTATAATTACAACAGAACACACAGGCATTATTATTATAAAGGGGGAAGCGCTAAATTCGTAGGGATTATACAGCGCCTGTGGGGGGAGGAGGGGAGGGATGCGGAAGGTATTCAGGCTTAATTCAAGAAAGTGGCACACAGATCCAATTCCCTAGATCAAGAGCCCTCTCACCAGCGTCAAGGAACCTCCCTTGAGGGACACACAGACATAACACAAGGTAGAAATCACCTCATCACCCAAAATTAACCAAACATTGTACTTAACACCTTCAAGTTACTCAAAAAACTCCTAAATAATTGACGACTGCTCAACTATTCGTTCATGATAATTCTATGTATGTATGATAATTCTATGTAACTGTATTTGTGTATACCTGAATAAACTTACTTACTTACTTACTTACTTACTTACTAAAGTTATAATTGTTTCAGTTTCTCTGTTGTATATTGTGCTTGATGGTTGTTCAAATATTTAATCATTACTTTAGACTTATAATTGTTTTAACTGCATTGTTTTCAATTGTGCTAAATTGTAATATATTTTTATATACTATATCAAAACTGAATTCACTGTAACTCACCTGATGACCATAGGTACAATTACAGCCCTGGTATTGTCTTATTAATCTTAAGTTAGTCTTAAGTTTGCCAGAAATGTTCTCCAAATTGTTACATTCCTTTGTACAAACATGTGTCATGCTAAAATTAAATTGTTATTGTTATTGTGGGGAAGAGATGCTCGATTAGGTTTGTTCAGAACTCTATAGTTCAGTTATTATTAATTTGAACATGATACAGAGAAGTACAAGGATTACAATTTTTAAAGTGCAGCATGCCAAAGCTCCTTGTATGTAGAGCATTATGGGCAGGCTTAAATAGTAACAAAGTTTGATTGGGTCACAGGTTGACATTCATGAGATACAATAATGAGATACATATATGAGATACAATTTATGAGAAACAGTTATTCAGTATTCATTATTCAGTATTCAGTGTTAATGTTGCAGTTTAAAAACTGTAGTGTAAAGCATCCTTCTGGCAAGACAGTGATGGAGTGAATGATGGTGAAAGTTTTTCTTTTTCGGGCTACCCTGCCTTGGTGGGAATCAGCCAGTGTGATAATAATAATTATTTAGTTGTGGGTGAGTAAGTGATTTTTGAGAAGAGACTTTAATATATAAACAGACAGTGTTTCTTTTATATTTACAGGTAATGAATTCCAGATTTTAGGGCCTTTTATGTGCATTGAGTTTTTGCATAGCGTGAGATGGACACGAGGAACATCAAAGAGTGATCTGTGTCTTGTGTTATGGTCATGTGTTATGTTGAGGTTGGTAAGGAGATGTTTGAGGGGAGAGTTTATGTCAGAGTGAAGTGTTCTATGTATGTAGTAGGAGCAGTAATAAGTATGGATGTTTTGTATTGTGAGTAGGTTTAGAGTTTTGAATATTGGTGGAGTGTGTTGTCTGTAGTGGGAATTTGTTATCATTCCGACTGCAGCCTTTTGTTGGGTGATTAGTGGTCTGAGAGGGTTTATTGTTGTTGAGCAAAACAAAACAGCAGGTGCTTTACACATATGCTGCTATGCATGATAATTCTATGTAACTGTATTTGTGTATACCTGAATAAACTTACTTACTTACTAAGTAGGACGTTGGTCGGGATTGTCAAGGGTCACCTATTGTTAGGTGGACCTCGGCGCCGCCACACCGCCCCCGGCACATTACCGTCTGAATCAATAACAGGCTTCCTTGAGGCTTAGAAGGAACTGATACGCGAGACACTTCAGTAACACTCAGGTATATTTATTCTGAAACGTTTCGCCAGCCATTGGTTTCATCAGTCTGATACAGAGATTAAACTGTGGGGGACGAGAAGGAGTTTAAGGTAATCAGTCCCTCAACCTGGAGATATGTTCAGTCCGTCAGTCGTAATAGAAGTGAGCTCATGATGTATGCCGACTCTCACAACTGTTGCGCAGTTATGAGGTTGGTTGTCTATTGAGATTGAAAGGCTATCGACTGAACGAGGGTCATCAAGGCTGCAACAATACTTTAATCACTAAAACAGGGATTGAAGAAAGCTCTCAACATGAATATAATAATGGTATACAATACCGGCAAGTTGAAAAGTAGGACATGTCAAACAGAGGAATCTTTTAAAATTCCGAATTTATTATTATTATAATCATGTGGGAGCGCTAAACCCTTAGGATTATACAACGCATGTGGGGGGGGGAGGGATGGAAGGTATTCAGGCTCAATTCAGGGAACTGGAGCACAGATCCAATTCCCTAGATAAAGAGCCCCTCACCAGCGTCAAGGAACCTCCCTTGAGGGGTTAAAATTCCGAAGCATTTCGCCTACACAGTAGGCTTCTTCAGTCGGATACAAAGGGGACAACACAAGCAATGATGTAAAGACGATGGAAACAGCCCCTTACTCTCGAAGCAGTAGTTTTGAGGTGGTCAGTCCCGCAGCCTGGAGAAGAGTTCTGCTCCATAATTTGGAACAATGTGAAGCTGAAGCAACAGAGTAGTGACTTAGGTACTGCCAGAGGTGAGGCGCAGGAAAGCAGGTACAGATTGGCCAGGTCGACCCTGCCACACTGTTGACAAGTGGTAGGATGGCCAGGTTGACCCTGCCACACTGTTGACAAGTGGTAGGATGGCCAGGTCGACCCTGCCACACTGTTGACAAGTGGTAGGATGGCCAGGTCTGACCCTGCCAACTGTTGACAAGTGGTAGGATGGCCAGGTTGACTCTGCCACACTGTTGACAAGTGGCAGGATGGCCAGGTTGACCCTGCCACACTGTTGACAAGTGGTAGGATGGCCAGGTCGACCCTGCCACACTGTTGACAAGTGGTAGGATGGCCAGGTTGACCCTGCCACACTGTTGACAAGTGGTAGGATGGCCAGGTCGACCCTGCCACACTGTTGACAAGTGGTAGGATGGCCAGGTCGACCCTGCCACACTGTTGACAAGTGGTAGGATGGCCAGGT